CTTTTACTCAATCCTTTGGGGGTGGAAGAGTGGAGAAGAAACATGCATAAAATGTGACTGTCTCTTAGTTGACGTCTCCCTTTCTTTAAAGAAAATAGCACACTGACATCAAATCCTCTTGAACGAAATTGTTTTATAATGTAGTGACATTACAGATTTATAGTTAAAGAAACTTCAATTTTGAAACCAACTGGTTCGTGATGAGGAAAAACAAAGTCTAAGTCATTTCAAATGATTTCATTCATCTAAAATTCAATCTTGTTGAAAGCAGCTTTTTTTTTTTCCTTTAGCCAAGGTCAGTATGTACCCTTGTATATTGTCTGCAATGGCTCAGAAAGCCTTGAGTGAAACTTGTCTTCTAGGTGCCTGAACTTTGAAATCATTTCCAATTGTTCTTTAAACCTAGAAAAATACATCAAGTATTTGTAAACTCGCAAAATATTTGCCCTGAGAAAGACTTTATGAGACTTTTTATCAAACTGAAACTCAATCAAATCTTGGTGGAGAGATGAGCAAGGCAGAATAGAAAAGATCTTTAAGTTCAATTGTTATTACAAAAATTATTTGGAGGGAGACATAATCATTGCTTGAAGTAGTCAAGTTTCCATTTTTTTTTGCTTGTAAAATAGTGATGTGCTCACTATGAAATCTTTTATACTTTCTAGAAAGATGCATAGATAGAAAAAATGATTTTGATGCATATTTTTAAAGTAAGTAAATGGTAGATTAATGGAGAATCTGAAAATACTTGGTTGATGGCATGATTAGTAAATGAGCATCCTGCTGGAAAAAAAAATTCTTAGGTTCAAGTGATGATTTTCTTTTCTTTTACCTTTGACATCAGCCAGAACCTTTTGTTTTATTTTGTTTTGTTTTATTCCAGTGTCTCTACAAACATAGCTAAAAAAATAACAGAAAAGAAAACTCCTGTAGGAATCAAGTATAAATATGGAAATGAATTTTTTTTGCAAGCAACTAAATAGCATCCATTGTGTGTTATAAAAGCAAACT